TGAACAGGGCGACTCAAATAGACCCTACCATGACGGGCTTTAATTGGGGCACTAGCACCATTATATGTGCTAGAATCTCGAGGCTTCTTGGCCGCCCTCTCCTATCTCTCCCGGGCCCACATACCCTCTAATCTCCTAGCGATCTCCACTACCTAGTGGTATAGGATGTCCATCTCCAACTCTTGGGTCATGCTGAATCTATACTAGGGTTGAGCCCCTCGATAAATCAACGAACTCGCTCATTGAAAGTAGCAACCAAGGCTGATACATGCTGGGACAAATCACTGAACCGGACCTGCATACTCCAATACGGTCATAGAACCCTGGCTCAACTGCTCAAACTCTACACTTCATGCATCCCTAAGACTCTAGGGAACAAACTCCCTCATGAACATCTCTGAGAACTGATCCCAAGTGAGTGAAGCTGCCTCTCTGGCTACCCAACTCACATGCTCACCACTGTTGATAAGCCACTCCCTTAAGCTGGAACATATTGAAAGAAACTCCACTCGACTCCACAATACCCATAGTACGAAGGATACGCTGTCACTCCTCAAGAAAACCTTGTGCATCCTCCGAAGCCAACCCGCAGAAAGTAGGAGAGTGGTACTTCGTGTACTTCTCGAGATTGAGCTGCCCTCCAGAAGCTATTGCCCTAACCTCAGGCTGAATTGGACAACCACTACACTAGTATGAACTCTGGAACATGGTTAACCTAGACCCGCTGCTCTAGGGTGCGGGCGGTGGGAGTCTGTGCTCCTTTCCCCGCCTGAGATGTGGCAGGAGCAAGGTGGAATCAACCCTGCCTAAGCCAAAGTTCCAAACATGCTCAAAACTGGGCGAGAGTCTTCTCAAGTGTAGGGGTAGTAGCAGGCATCTTAGGTGTCAGCTCTCCAATTGGAGCTACTGGTGGCTCCTCGGTAGAAGATCGTACAGGTGCTCTAGCTACACTACGGGGACGGCCTCGGCCTCTACCCCGGCCCTAGCCTCTCACGGCTCTAGCAGGGGGCGTGGGCGTCTGATCATTAAATCCAGTTGTGTGTGTCCTCACCATCTGCGAGAGAATAGAAAGACAGAGATTTAGAATTTCGAAGTCAACAAATTCTCACTATAAGGAATCAAATAAGTGAAATTTTTTCTAACAATTCTATAGCCTCCCAAAGATAAGTACAGACATCTCTATGCTGATTCACGAGACTCTACTAAACTTGTTTGTGATTCATAACACCTATGAACCTAGAGCTCTGATACCAACTTGTCACAATATCAATTTCCCTTCGTAGGATGTCGTGATGGTACCTAGTCTCTAAGACTAGGTAAGCCTAACAAACATGCGGAAATAACTGAAATAATAATCAAATCCTCAAAACTCAACAACTAATATAAGGAAAGTCTACACAACTCAGTATATATACAATAGCCCAAAACCCAGCGAAATACAAGTTACAAGCTCTATGGAGTGATACTGGATATCTCTACACAATAGTGTCTAAATAAGGGTAAGGAAATAAAATACTCCATGTGGAGGAGGACTCCGAGGCCTGCGGACACCGGCATGTGTACCTTGAAGTCTCTATGCACAGACTCAACTCACTAATGCCCGGACTGGTATAAGGTATATGGATCTACATAAAAAGATGTGAAGAAGCGTACCATGAGTATACCACAATGGTATAAACTCGGTAAAGTAGTAACGAGGTCAGGTCAAGGCCCTATTGGAATAAATAAAAGACTGAACAAGTACAAGGCAATGTAATAATGACAGTAATGAAATTGAAACAACAAATAGTATATCAAGGTTTGCTACACGGAACTAAAGCAATTAGTGCAACACAGAGAGAACAATTAACAATATGGTAAGGAAACAACAACCAAAGACAAGTGCAAAATGGAGAAATGCCAATAAGAGTTACTACCGAGGTACCGCCTTGTAGCCTCAAGTCACAAGAACAAATCACAATCTTTCCTTATATCACCGCGGGAGTCTTTATATTTAGTTTTGAAAATTATTTTCCCGAAATAGCATCCTGCATTTAGCCACCTTATCACACCGCATGACTCCCAGTAGTTCCCCTACTAGCCACGCGTATCAAGCCCACATTATCTTACCGCATGTGTTTCAACCCCAAAATCTTATACCACCACATGCTTATCTATATCACAATGTATTACAAACCACACCTCAAGTGCTCGATATCACAACTAGCTAAAGAAACCAAACAATAACAATGTTTTCACCTTAAAGAGCTCATGGCTCAACCACAATGTATACAAGAGTCTCAACAAAAACAACCAAAATAAACAACTCAATAGAATAGTATTTTACAACTTAACACTTTTCCTCAATGTGAATTACAACATTTATATCTCAATACCAATTTCAACAACGAGATATTTATTGATTTAACAACTTCAAGTAAAGAGTTCAACAATTAAGTAATGAATACGGAATAAAGGAAACCGGAACTTCAACTAAACATGTAGGTCAATTAGCATCTAAGAGAGTAAGACAAGTAGACATGTGAAAATAGGCTAATATTGATGAATATAACATGTTAAGATAACTCAATTAAGGCATGGAATGAATCTACATAGCTAAAAACGGTAATTTCCACATTGAGCCTGTGTAAACACTCATCACCTTGCGTACATGGCTTCTACACATCACAAATTATCACAAACAACACCAATCTTAAAGGATAATTCCACTACATAAGGTTAGGCAAGACACTTACCTCAAATCGCGCTCACTCAATCCACTAGTAGGCATTTTCCTCAATTATACAACTCCATACGGCTCAGATCTAGCCAAAATAACTTCATACAATAAATATAAACTATAGAACACTAATTCCAACAATAAAGTTACGATCTTTTCAAAGGAATAAAATGTCAACCCGGGCTCGCATCTCGGAACCCGACAAAAATTACAAAATCCGAACACCCATTCGATAACGAGTCCAACCATACAAGAATTACTCAAATCCGACCTAAATGGCCTTTCAAATCCCCATATTTTAGCCTAAGAAGTGCACAAATTTTCTCCAAATTCCCAACACCAAAACGCAAATTTAATGATGAAAACAATACTGGATTCGTGTAATTTAACCAAAATTGAGTTAGGAATTCTTACCTCAATGTTTCCCTTGAATACTCCCGAAAAATCACCTCACACTGAGCTTTCTAAGTACAAAAATGAATTATGAATCAAACCCTTGAAATTTCCCATTTTTTGCCCAGCAAATCTGCTTCTATGAGCCTGGGGTCGCACCTGCGCTGCCGCACCTGCGAAAAATACATTGCAAGTACGGATTTCACTTAAATCCAGGAGTCCCGCTTCTTTGGACCTTGTCTCGCACCTGCGAGCCCGCTTTTGCGGAGGAGGAGACCGCACCTGTGGTCCTGCCCAAAGCCTCCTCCTCCAATTCTGCTTCTGCGAAAGAAATGGCCGCGCTTGCGGAGACGCACCTGCGAGCCCATCCCTGGGCTCTCCTTTTCGCTTTTGTGCTTCACCTTCCGCACCCGCAATTCCGTACCAGCAGTCAATCCCTCCGCAAGTGCGATGACACCAACAGACCTAGGACTTTAGCAATTAGGCTAAGTCTAAAATTAATCTGAATTAGATCTGAATCATACTCGGGGCTCCCGAGACCCCGTACGAATATACCAACAATTACAAAACACATAACGGACCCACTCGAGGAAACAAAATCACATCAAACAATATCAATTTTACGAATCGCAACCCAAATTCAAGCCTATGAACTATGAACTTTCGATTTCCGTAACCAATGTCGATTCATACCAAAACAACTCCAATTGACTCCAAATTTTGCGCACAAGTCATAAATAATATTAAGGACTTATTCCAATTTCTGAAATTAGGATCCGACCCCGATATTAATAAAGTCAACTCTCGGTCAAACTTTTTAAATCTTCTATTTTCCAACTTTTGCCAATTCACGCTGAAATGACCTACAAACCTCCAAATCAACATCCGGACATACTCCTAAGTCTAAAATCACCATACGGACCTATTGGAATCATCAAAACTCCATTGTAGAGTCATCTACACAAAAATCAAATTACGGTCAACTCTTTCAACTTAAGACTTAAACTTAGGGACTATGTGTCTCATTTCACTCCAAAACTCACCCGAAACCAAAACCAAACACCCAGGCAAGTCCTATAACCACAATATAACATAGGAAGAAATAATTGGTGGATCGGCATTAATATACTTAAAACGATTGACCAGGTAATTACAGAATCCCTTTGAACTTTTCCCATTTTCTTTGCTCGGTTCTAACCTTCAATTCTTCAGGGATTTTTGACCTATGAAATGTTTATCAGATTAAAGTCTGATCAAATATTCATAGGTCAAAAATCTCCAGTGTCTTGATGACTTAAACACATAGAGCTTCGTTCTTCTATCCTTGCATTTGATCTCAATAGGTAAATCCTTCTCTCCCTACTTTGCTTGGTTCAATTATTGCCATTTGTGGATCTAATTTAATCATCATGTTCTTGAGCATGGGTTGGATTAGTCAATGATTCTTTATGACGAGCATTTGCATGATTAAATTAGTGTTTAATCATATATTTTAGTTAGTATAAATTGTACTTCTATCCGTTGGTAATTTTGATTGAGCTTATGTGAATTTGGACTCCACTTAGGCCTTCCCGTTTGATTTAATTCAAATTTGGGACTATTCTGTTGGATAGTCAGGCCCAGCGAGTATAAAGCCCAATTAGACAAAGATGTAGGTAGTAGGTTTGTTGGGCTAGAAGGCCCATGCACAATGCCGAAGGAAATTGGTAAATACACGCGAATTCATTCTAGGGAATCATTTAAATAACTGCTAGGAAGCTTCCTAGAAATGGAAAGGGGGATTGTTTAACAAGAAAAGAGTGAGCAGGGGTTGGGTATTAAGGTCTGTGAGGCAAAAATAGAAATTTGGGGGACTAAAAAGAAAAGAAAAGGCTGAAAGAAATGTGCTCTATATAACAAATGACCCTCTGCACATTTTCAGCATTCATATCCATCTCTGAAAATTCACATCACTTGTTCATATGCATACACTCTTACCCACAACTCTCTCACACACACACAAAAGAGCTCACTCACAGTCAAAAACAACTAAAAACCATTTCTTGAATTCAAATTTGAGATCTCAGATCTAAAGTTCAAAAATTCAAAACACAAACAAAGAAAAACAAAAGAAAAAATAAGATTCAGGAGGATTTCGAAAGTGAATTTAATGTTGTTGATTTAATCCACTTTTTCTGGGTTCTAGAAGATTAATTACTCTGGAAATGTTGTTTTGGCTGCTGACTCTGTTGCTGGTTCTCTGATTTCGAGCGCTAAACTTCATCCCTCAACTTTCTGATCTATATTTGTTCTATCCTCATTGTTTTAGTGCTACTAGGTATGATCAAAACCTTCTGTAATACTCCATTGATTTTCATGAATGGGGATCCGAGTTGTTCAGATCCATATGTATAATTAGTTTCATAGATGCACCATTAGATTTGCCTATAGTTTCTTCTATGTTAGCTTATTGTTTTGATTGTTTTTTATTAAATGCTTAAACTAAAATCATTCGCTAATCAAGCCTAGCAACTGCTCAATGCTTTGTGATGATTAGCTTCTCGTGAATTCATCAATAGAACTGCCTATAATCGCTTCTTTGTTAGCCATCGATTCTGATTGTTTAAGCTGAAGCAGGTCATTAATTAGTATATCCTAATTGCAGATTGCTGAAGCATGATGATTCTGGAAGCAGTAATGAATAGTTAATTTTAGAATTCGGACTAGTTTAACTCATTGTAACATTGTTTCACATAGCATAGGTCATTAAAGTCGCTTTTATTATAAATTCAACTTAGAATCCCTGATGTAATAAATTGTTGCTGTAATTTTGAACTCAGATAGCCATATGCTTGATATTTAAAATATTTTTTTTTTTTACTCTTGTGATGACATATGAAAATTGTACAGAACTAGCTATTGGACATTTGGGCCTCCATTTCCGAAAATGTTGGGGCCAACGAGGTTGTACCATTAGTTTGATATCTCAAAAAAAAACTATGTATCTCGTTTGTATATGGGTTCAATTCCAGGCCCATTTGGATGCTTGTCATGCCGCCTAAGTTGAAAAGCCGCTCCGGAAAGGCCAAACGCTATGGGCCTCGCTCCAGGCCCAAGCGCTTGCATTCGACCTCATTGGAGGTCTCAACTTGGGCCTGGGGTCACATGTAAACCGGGAGAAATTTAAAAATAGCCAAATTTACAAGTGGTCATTAAAAAATAGCCACAGTTTCTAAAGTAATCAAAATTTAGCCACTTTTCATGTAAAGATAAATCTGAACAAAAAACAGTGTTGAGAATCTGGAAAATACCCCAGTATAATATACCGGTCCACCATAATATACTGGAAAGTAGAGCACCGGTGCTCCAATCTCCAGTATATTATACTGGAACTTTTTCCATGTTGGAGTTCCAGCATAATATGCTGGAAGTTCATACACAGGTGCGCCGATCTTCAGTATATTATGCTGGAACTTTTCGTGTTGCAGCAAAATAACGGCTATTTTTCATTGACTTTGCAAACGCTGGCTATTTTCGAATGACCAGTCCGAAAATTGGCTAGCCCGTGCTATTTTTACACGTAAACCACCAAATTAATTATTACTTAGTTTAGTTCTAAATCAGAATAATTAAGGCACAAAATGAATCCTTTGGTCACAACTTTACTCATCTACGTACCAATGCCTCTTTATAATGTAGAATAGCCTCCCGCTTTACCTATGTTTGAGTTATACAGTACTAGACCTCAAATAAGTCAATGATCCAATAGTTCGATGACAGTAATTTATTTAATCCTTAAGCATTTGATTCAAAGCATTAAATAGGCGGCAGCTCCCCATACATGACTTTAAGATTAGAAATAAACAGTTCTTGAATATCGTAGGAAAAATACAGGGGAAGTGCACGGTTAGCCACTAATAACATATGTATTTACTTTTAAGTCACTGTTTAAAATATCTTTAGTCTTTAGCCACTGCTTAAATAAACTTTACCTGCCCAGACGCAAATACCCTTCTGCTCATACAAGTTCAGGACCAAGTGTCCTTAACTTTTGAACTTGCAACTCTAAGTTCAGGACTACATGTCCTTAACTTTTGAACTTGGAACTCGAAGTTCAGAACCACCTGTCCTTAAGTTATGTGCTTGTAACTCTAAGTTAAGGACTACTTGTCCTTAACTTTTGAAGTTATAAGTCTAAGTTCAGGACCTATTGTCCTTAACTTTTGAGCTTGTTAGTCTAAGTTCAGGACCAAGTGTCCTTAACTTTTGAACTTGTATATGTAAGTTCAGGACCAAGTGTCCTTAACTTTTAAGCTTGTTAGTCTAAGTTCAGGATCTATTGTCCTTAACTTTTGAGCTTCTTAGCCTAAGTTCATAACCTATTGTCCTTAACTTTTGAGCTTGTTAGTCTAAGTTCAGGACCAAGTGTCCTTAACTTTTAAGCTTGTTAGTCTAAGTTCAGGATCTATTGTCCTTAACTTTTGAGCTTCTTAGCCTAAGTTCAGAACCTATTGTCCTTAACTTTTGAGCTTGTTAGTCTAAGTTCAGGACTTCAGGACCTATTGTCCTTAACTTTTGAACTTGTAACTGTAAGTTCACGACTTATTGTCCTTAACTTTTGAGCTTGTTAATCTAAGTTCAGGACCAAGTGTCCTTAACTTTTGAACTTGTAACTGTAAGTTCACGACTTATTGTCCTTAACTTTTGAGCTTGTTAATCTAAGTTCAGGACCAAGTGTCCTTAACTTTTGAACTTATAATTTTAAGTTCAGGACCAAGTGTCCTTGATTCAAACCACTACATATGCACGTATTTAAGATTCTGATTTCCTAATTTTTTTTCCCCATAAAATTCTAGTTCACCATACTAATAGTTATACTAAGTACTACTCATATTATTAAGCTCGTTGGCGCTCTGATGAAAATATCACCTTTTTCCCTTTTACCCTTTATATTCTTTTCTTGCTTTTTTCTAGGTCCTTAATTTGTTGATGATTTCCCTCTTCCTATTTACAGTCATCTCGTCTCCTTTCTTGTTAGTCGGTCAATCTCCTTCACCTAAACCCCAAGAAATAGAGAGGGGGAACTGGGTTAGGTAGTGAAATGAGCTCTTCAAGCTCACCTGGTCGATCTCGAAGAGGAGAAAAGGAACAAAGAGCAAGGACTTTTGATACTGAAGCGAAGAAGATGTTTTGGGCCAAGACGGGATCAAGAGATAGAAGAAAGGGTAACACCGTCTTTTCGTATTAATTTTAATATACTAGTGGCTACTTTTGCTCAGAATTAAAAATACTGGATAAAAAGTAAATATCACTTTAAAAAGTGGATACCCCACACAATTTTTATGAAAATGCACAAGTACCCCCTGACCTATATCCGGATTTTTAACTACTCACTTTTTCTTTACGGAAATCCTATTATCCCCCTAAACTTAGTTTAAATAGAATTATTTGCACCTTAACACTGACAACCAAACTCTTGGCAAGTGGTGAGCTACACGCGCGCCCACATGTATTTTTAGTACTTTTTTTATTCTTTCTTCCTTTTCTTATCCTTTTTTCTTATTTCTTATTATTCTCATTTTTTTTGTTATTTCATTCTCTTTATTTTTGTTTTGGTCACCGACGACATAAAATGGTGGTCGTAGGAATTTCACAAACATCATTTTTCCGGCGAATTTTTTTTTTCCGGCGACAGATTTTTTTCCCGATCTAAGTGTGTTTTGTTTTATATATATAATTTTCTTTAAAGTGTAATTTATGTGTGGGAGGAAGAGCAAAAGAAATAAAAACGAATATAGGCTGAGAAAACTTTTTCCAGTTAAAATTTTAATACATCATTTTTTTTCCGGCGTGGGAAGATTTTCTGATGATGAATTTTTTCACCCAAATGTGAGTGTATTTTGCTTTGCTTATGAATGCACCTTTTTGAAAGTTTAATTTGTGTGTGAAAAGAAAAAATAGAAGAAAAATGGTTAGACAAAGTTGCCGGTGAATGAATATCTGCCGGAATTAGAGAAGAAACGAAAAAAAAAGCAAAAGAAAAAAGACAAAGAAAAAGGAAAAGAAAAAGGAAAAGGAAAAAAAAAGTAAGAAAAAATGGTAAAAAGAATAAAAAATAATCTGAAAATTATTTTTTCTTGCTTCTCACTCTCCTTTGGGAGAGTGAAATACACACACTCTGCCACGTCAGCATTAAGGGTGCAAATAATTCCATTTAAAATAAGTTTAGGGAGGTAATAGGATTCCCACAAAGAAAAAGTGTGTAGTTGGGAATACGAGTATAGGTCAGGGGGTACTTATGCATAGACGCGATTAATAATAAATTATTGTGACTATGGGTACGGTTCTCATTGCATAGTCACGATACGTAATTTCAAATTCGAGCGTACGCATTGTTTGACTTGATTCTAACTTCAAAGTAATAATAAAATAAACGTGTCGTAAATTGCGGGTGCGTTTCACATGGCGCGATTTGCGGTATGTGTAAAACAACAAGTGTACGACATCGTAACTTATTTTAAAATAAATCCATAAACACGTAAAATGATTTTTAATAAAATAAAAATGGCTAAAAGGAAAATGCACGTAGGTTTCAAAAACATGTAATATCAGTTGATTTCCAAGTTTAACTGTTAAGTGACTGTACTAAAATCACGGAATTCGGGAATACCTCACGCCTTCTCTCAGTTTAACAGAATTCTTTATCTAGTTTTCTGTGTTTCTTTGACTTAAACAAAGTCAAACTTTCCTTGAATTGGGATTTTAAAATAAACTTGTGACATAGAACACCTTAATAATTATTCTAAATCGCGACTCTTTCAAATAAAATAAATAATCGCACTTCAATAATGTTACTTAAAGTGGAAAAATTCCTTCCCCGTAAAAAGGAGGTAATGACACTAATAAAACCAAAACTTTACTGTAATTCATATTATATGATTATTACCCCTATCTCAAATAGTTGTATTGGTTGTCTACACCATTCCTGTGATGCTCTCATAATTTTCGTCATGTTAGAACTGCCATTCCTATTAAAAGTTTACTGTATTAACGTTTTAATAACATATCACATAAATATAGAAACGTCAAAAGACCAGCTTAATTTTGTATATATATGATAGAAACTTCAAAAGACCAGCTTACTTTTATTCACTAGTATTAATACACACTGATCTGCTCAAAATTCAAACAGATGAATCGAGGCCTGAGGAGGCTTTGTAGTGCCAACAGCAGCACACTTATTTGTATAACTATCATTAGGCAAAGATATTAAAAAATGATATAACTATCTTAAGTCTTCCTGCTAGTGTACATATCTTATTACTAGGTAAGCCTAATATTTGCGAAAAATGGAACGAAATCATGAAAACTAACAATCAACAGGTAAATTTTTAAATAGAAACTAAGATGCCGCTCGGCATATACAATAATCACTCTCGGATTTTACATAAGCTCTCCCAAAACCCGGAATGTCATAAATCACAAGCTATAAAAAGAAACAGTACTTCTATACTCTAGAGTCTAATAAAAGAAGAAAAATACAAGAAGCGTTTGACATGGGGAAGAGTAGATAGAGACTCCGAGGTCTGCGGACGCGGCAGATATACCTTGAAGTCTCTACAGTTGTCCCGCCTCACTGGTAATGCAGCTGATAAGCGGTACCTGGATCTGCACACTAAAAAATATGTGCAGGGAAGGGCATGAGTACACCACAACGGTACCCAGTAAGTGTCAAACCTAACCTCGGTCGAGTAGTGACGAGATCATGTCAGGACCCTGCTGGTACATAATGAAATAAGAAAGAATGAGATATCACAATCAAAATAAATACGGAATCTAACAACAATAGAATCATAGAAAGACAACAACTTAGAACACAGAGTTAACAACACGGGATCTCCCAGGATACCGTCCCATGGTTCTAAA